CCCCCCCCCCCCCCCCCCCCCGGCCTTGCTCACCCACCACACAGGACTTTTTCTCTTCTTCTGACACACCGGTCTCTTTCCTTCCTCAGGGCCTTTGCACTTACTGCCATATCCTTCATGTCGCTTGCTTCCTTCTCTTCATTCTTCCTAAGGATTATCTCTTGAGCAAGGTCTTCCTGATCAACCCCTCACTGTCACCCCTTACCTTGCTGAAGTTGTCTTCCTAACATGTCCGTCTCCCTGAAATTAGCTATTTCCTTTTGTGCCTCATCTCACTAACTAGGATGTAGGATCCAAAAAGGCAGTGACCATGTGTCTTGTTTATGGCCATATTGCAAGCACCCCAGCCCAGGTCCTGGTACATGGTAGGTGCTCAATGAATTCTTGTAACAACTAGGAAGGGAATGAAAGAAGGGAGGTGGTTGTGGACACACATCAGGGGAAACCCTGCTGGCTCCTTACAATGGCGAGAGTGAGGGACTGAATCAGGGAGACGGGGGCTCAGGGGCCCAGCCAGCTGGAACCGCAGTGGAGTGGCTGGGAGCCTGGGAGGATGAGGAGGCCTCGTCCCTCGAGAGGAAGGAGGGAAACTGCAGGTGAGCAGCCCAGGCCGGCTCTGCTGGGTTAATCGGAGGGCCTGCTGCCTCTGCATCCCTATGTGGGGCAGAGAAGGCTCCCAGCTCCCAAGGCAGGGACGGTTATTATGCCCATTTCACTGATGAGGGCTTAAGGCTGCAGCTCAGAGACCTCAAACACCTTGCCAAGAGTCACACAGCCGTTAACAGTAGAGTGGGGTTCAAATGTCTGACTCTAGACCTGGGTTCCTTTGGCAGCCCAGATGTTTGTCCAGGCTGTGCTCTGGGTACCCACGTTATAGATGAGGCTGGAGTGGTCCCACAATTTCCCTAAGGTTGGTGGCAGCCCCAGGATTTAAACGCAGAAGCTTTTATTCCTGAGACTTTGCTTTCATTATCCTGCTTTAATTATGCTCCCTCCCCAGTGGTTCCTCATAGTGCCTTCTCCCCTCCACCCCGTTCCTTGTATTGGACCTTTTATCCCCTCCTTCCAATCTTCCTTCTTTCCCTCTTCACAGCCTTGTGCTTTCATCCCCTCGGCTCTGCCCTCTGACCCAGAGTTGCCTAGAGTCCCAGGGCCAGGGGCGGGGTTCAGGGCCTCACCTGCTTTCTCGCTGTTGCTGGAGGCTCATGCTGCTGATTAGCCAGCCCACCATCCCTGGGGCCATCTGCCCTGAGGCATTCAGACTTTCCATGAGGCGGAGGCGGATGTTCTGGATTCGGTGCTCTGCGTTGTGCTTCATGAGGCCCTGGGCAATAACTGGAAATGGACAAGGGACCAGTGACACTGCAAGTCAAGGGGCCTACGTTGCAGGCTGGGGCATCCACTTCTTGCTGAGTGATCAGTGCTTGTCACCCTCCAACTCCACTCTCCACACTGAAACCCATACTCCTCATCTGGGAACCTGTGCTTTGCAGGGTTGATGGGACACACATGCAGTGGGTCTGACAGGTAATAGCTGCTCTGACGAGATGATAGTAGTTGAAAGTTCGCCCAGTGTTCTATCTCTGAATCTGGAACAGAGAACCTGACGTACGGGATGTACATCACAGCAAATGTTGGTTGAAGAGAAAAATAGGTGGGTAAATAAGAAGAGAATAAATGTAATTTCTCCCACACTGTGTCCAGAACAAGCTGCAGGACTATGTGGAGCTACCAGCAGAAACGAATGAATTCCAAAAAGGAAGGGGACTTTAAATTTTTTTTTTAACGTTTTATTTATTTTTGAGACAGAGAGAGACACAGCATGAACGGGGGAGGGGCAGAGAGAGAGGGAGACACAGAATCGGAAACAGGCTCCAGGCTCTGAGCCATCAGCCCAGAGCCCGACACGGGGCTCGAACTCACGGACCGCGAGATCGTGACCTGAGCTGAAGTCGGACACTTAATCGACTGAGCCACCCAGGCGCCCCAGGAAGGGGATTTTAAAAGTGATGGGCATGCTTCAGTCCTGCCTATTAGCGCTAGACCCTCCTGCCCAGGATTGGGCCCAGCTGATGAACCTCAGAGGGTACACAGGACACCTTTATTTCACTTGCCTGATCCTCCCTGTGGTCAGAACCCACACTGCAGAGCAGCAGAAACCATGGTTCCACCTCACTCTCCTCCCTCCTGCTCCCAGACCCCCTTTCAGTATCCCATGTTTCTGTTGTCGCCTGCAAAGAGAAAGTGTGTTTGGAGTCATAGATCTGGGTTCAAATCCTGGGTCTGTCACCTTCCTGAGTCCTGATTTCCTCACTGGTATAACAGAGGCAGTAATAATACCCATCTCACAGGATTCTTGTAAGGAATATTGAGATAATTTATCCAAACGAGAATATTATTGAGCATCTATTGGGTATCAGGCCTTGCGGTACATCATAAAGACACAAACCAGTTGTCTGTCTAATAAGAGAGACATACATTGACCACATAGTTTCAAAGATAGAGTGATAGCCTAGAACTCTTATCAGTTCTTGGTTAATGATGATGGCAACACTTGTAAATTTGTGACCAGTACACATTAGTAGTCACCAGTCCAATATCCATCCATCCATCCATCCGTCCATCCTCCATCTAGCCATCTGTCCAATATCCACCCATCTATTCATCTATCCATCCTCCCATTCATCTATCCTATCATTCTCATCTGAACCTTGTTCAGATTCATGCTCTCTCTCCAATTCCTGATCCAGATTAAAGCCTTTGATTATCTGAACCATCATTGCTTGGTAACTCTTTCAGGTTTAAAGTGGGCATATCACCCAAGTTGGCCCTATCAATCAGACTAAACAGAAGATCTTATGTTTCCTGTTAGAGGGGAAGTTTCTTTCCTTGTCTCCTATTGGAAGGGAGCAAGGCAGGCTGTAGCTCTGATGGCCACTGGCCACCATTTTCCTGCCACACTGGGAACTAGTGGCCTGAGGATGAAACTATGCTGATAGCAGAGGTAAAAAAAAAAAAAAAAAAAAAAAATGGACAAAATCCAGTTCTGAATGGCACCTTTGAGTTGCTGATTGAATCATACCTGGAGCTTGTCCTACCTATGATTTTTGGTTCTGTGACTTTTTTTTCATTGTTTCGGCCATATTGAGTTGGGTTTTCTATTATGTGCAGCTAAATACTCTGATAGGAGAGGTGGTTATAGTGATAAATATATTCACAGTAGAAAAAGCACTTGGCACGTGCTTTCCTTTGTTTAAATATCAAAAGCAGCCCCATGAAATACCATTCTAACTGCACCATTGTAACCATGACGATGCCTAGGCCCACAAATACACGTGGTATATATTTCCTAATGTAATGAAATGGATACATTTGTGGCAATCCATAAAATACCAAGTAGTGATGAGGGAAATGGGAAATACTGATTATCTAGAACCATTAGGAAATAGAAATAGTAGTTGAAGATTTCATTCCCCAGAAGTTTTTGATCTGGATGGTTTTGGGGAAGAGTTTTACCGAACTCTGTAAAGAGATAATTGTGAAAGAAAACAGAAAAAGAAGATGCAAAATTCATTTTATGAGGCTAGTACAACTTGTCTAGCTTCAAGAAAAGTACCAGGAAAGAAAGTTACACAACACTTTCATGTATGAAAACTTTGCTAACATCCTGTAAAATTATTAGCTAATAAATCAGATAGCTAGTAGTACATTAGCTCTCTATAACTACATTACATTACATTATAAAGTATATTTTTAGTATGATACATTATAATACATTCTATTACATTATAAAAAATAGTACAGGATAAATATATCATTATGGTAAATTATAAAAAATATCATATTTATTCCAGAAATGGGTATATCCCAGAGAAATTCTTCCACAGCTCCTAACAGGGACACATGCGTGAGCACATGAACAAGGATGTTCATCTCACTGTAGTTTAAAACAGTGGGGAGTTAGAGACAAGTCAAGTGTCCATCCCTAGGGAAATGGCCACCTGATGGTGAAGTGGATGAATCTCATGGACTTGTAAGTACCAGCCTGAAGCAACAGATGTCAACAGCACAGCATCCAGTGAAAGCAATAAAGAACAACAAGATCTACATGGCAGTACCATTTATACAAATCAAAACACTGCACGTTTTATAAGGACATGAGCATATGTAAACAAATATTAAACACACCGCAGGGCCTGCCAAGGAAGAGGGGATGGGAGTGAGAATAAGAGGTAAAGGGGAAAATGACAAAATAAAACACAAGAGGACCTTCATAGTAACAATGATGTGCTATGAACTGGCATATGATCAACTGAACCTCAGTTTTCTGTACTTAAAGGTCTAAGAGAAAAAGGAAGAAAAGAGGATGACTGACCCGAGGTCACCCAGCAAGTCAGTGGTGGGACCCAGATGACGCCTCCCCCACCCACCCTGTGACAGTAGGCAGAGCATGGGTTGAACTTACTTCTTGCCAGAGCTGGTTTGCTGTCCACATGGGCTTTGGCCAGGCCCTGCTTGTGCAGTGCTGAGGGCAAAGACAGCAAGCTGAGGAGAACTAGGAGCCTCCAGATTGGGCACATCTCAGGTTCTGGGACTTGTAGGTGTCAAGAAGGGTCAGAAGGTACCCAGATGGGTGGCTGTGGGGGTGGCTGCCTGAGTGAGTGGACTCATGGTTTCCTGTGGAAAGATGACACCAGAGTTATCCCTGAACATGCCGTGGGGAGGTGTTGTGATGGGCTCTGGCAGCTGCCACTGGGATTTGCTCCCATGGTGAGGGCAGAAGGTGGAACCCTGTGGGGAGGGCCAGAGATCCAGAGGGGGACCTTGTTGCTTGGATACGCCCAGAAGAGCCCACTGTTGGGTCATCCAGCAGGAGTTGTCTCCCAGACCCTGCGCAGGCTGGATCTTGGGGATTCTACAGTAAGTGAATGAATGAATGAGTGACTGAGGATGACTAATTTCAGGCTCTCCAATTGGACTAGGACTTATTTTAGTGTTTATTTATTAATTTTGAGAGAGAGAGAGAGAGAGAGAGAGAGTGAGCATGAGTGGGGGAGGAGCAGAGAGAGAGAGAGTTCTAAGCAGGCTCGGCACTGTCAGTGCAGAGCTAGAGACGGGGCTTGATCCCATGAACTGTGAGATAATGACCTGAGCTGAAATCAAGAGTCAGATGCTTAACCAACTGAACCACCCAGGCTCCCCTGGACTAGAACTTTCTCAAGGGCAAGATCATTCACAATGTCTACCATGATGCTTGCTTGCTAGGAATTGAGGGTTAAGCTACCAAGTTATAAAGGCAGGGTGTGAGTCCAATGCCTCCCATGTTTACCACATGGTAGTTACTAATGTTTGTTAAATGATAAGAATGAATGATTGGATGGATGGATGGATGGATGGATGGATGGATGGATGGTTGGTTTATGGATAAGATTTATAGGGGAGGGACAGAGAGCCTGTCTCTTATTTCATTGTTCTGAAGTTGGGAGTCAGAGAGAATTCAGCACAAATCCTCCTGTCCTCAGCATCTCAAGAAATGGCACCATAATCCATCCAGTTGCTCTGGCCCCAGCCCTTGGAGTCCCTCTTAACTAATCTTTCCTCATGACCCACTATCCATCTGTCCTGTCAACACTTCCAGAATCTGACCACATCTAATAACTCCTTCTCAGCCACCATTACATTGGCCTGGATTATCGCATGGGGATCCCTACCTGAATTCGTGGCTTTTTTCCTTGCCCACCCACAATCTGTTTTGCACACAGCAGCCTGCCTAACCATTTCAAGACATTAATCAGATCACAGCCCTCCTCTGCTCAAAACTTCTAAAGCTTCCCACTGCTCACAGAGCAAATGTCAAACTCCATGCAATGCCTCCCAGGTCCTGCAGGGTCCCCTGGTGTTTGTTCTCTCTGACCTTACCTCTTAACACTCTGTCCCTCATCTGCTCCCACTCCTGGCAGCCACACAGGCCTGGGGGGGGGGGGCATGGTCTGGGTCCCACAATTCAGCTGCTGTGAAATCCCAAGACAAAGGTACTCTTGACTTCCTGTGCTCCGCAACCCTCCTCCCCCCGCCCCCCAAGAATGTTCAGGGTCCTTTGCAAATCTCATGAAACCCTGGGGCCATCCTTGGGCACTTCACATCCAGTTTTGTAAGAGATCATAACTAAAGCATTCGTTCAGGGTGATGGCTTTCCGGAATTGATGTCCTCTTGCAGGGCTCACGCTCCCCTTGGGGATGTTTGTAGAATATCAGTTACCTCAAAATGTACTTTTCCAGTCTTCCTGATCTTGTGTAACCAGTTGGGATTTTGTTATTTTTTTGTCAAGAAAATTAAAGAAGAGTGGGCACCGTTGGGAGGAACAAACCTGTTGTCCTTGGCTCTTTGAAGGTCTGAACTTGGGAGTGGGGAGGGCTGTCAGTCCTGCCCCATTGCAGGATGTGGTGCTCAGGGCCACTGAGTCTAAAGAAATGAGCAGGTGAAGGATGTAGACTTTCCAAGCCTGGTGCATGACGAGGGAGCAGAAAGGCACCGCTCTGGGACGAGCCCTGGATTTCCTTGTCCTCGTGGTGCTCCCATACCTGGCGGGGTGTGGGGGGTGGGGACACCAGACAAGTGGGGAGGGGGGTTATCAGAAAAACGGCCTCCCTGAGGAGACAGTGGAATTTAAGGGAAAGCCTACAAGTTAGCTGGTGTCGTGTTTCCTCTTCCCCCACGGCCTGCCTTCCTGCCCCAGGCAGCTACTTCTAGGGATGGTGCCACTGACGTTTATTTGGTGGGCCTCATTCACTGTGCTAAGCCTGCTCCATGTGTGATCTCATTCCACACGTGAAGGGTTGGGGACATAGAGAAACCCAGAGGCCTACAGAGCTCTGGGCTGGGACCAGATCGAGCTGCCACCCGGCAGGCTCTCTGGCTCTCTGTCCCTGCCCAGAGGAGTAAGAGGTTTCCTTTGGAAGGTGGAGCTGCTGGCTGCCCCAAACCTCATCTAGTAGCCCTTTCCTTTACTATTTCAAATAACTTGCTTTAGAACAAGCTTCTTTACCTTTTTGGGGGGCATTTTCAAAATGTGATGACAACTTTGGTTTGTCCAGAAAAAATAATGTAAAAACTGGTTAAAAAATGTTGCTGATAGTAGCAGGATTTCCATCACCCTTTTAATCTGTGACCATTGGCACAAGTTAAAACCCCTGCTCTCCTGGTAACTGGCTTTCAAGGAGTTTGACTTGGATAAAATTTATTTATTCAGTCAACCATTACTTCCTGTGGGTTTACAATGTGCCAGGCACTGTGCTTGGCTCTAGGCAATAACAGACACACAGCTTCTCTAGAGACTTATAGTCTGGGGAGAGAATCAGAATAAGACAAAATAAACAATACATGGAATAATCACAAATTGTATACCAAGGGGGGAAGTTTGGGTGAGATTGAGAATAGGAGGGAGGCCACTTTGAGCAATGAGTAGGGAAGGTCTCTCAAGAAGGTGACATTTGAGCTGAGTCCAGGAGGAGACAGAGCCTGCATTGGGTGTAGATGGAGGAACGACACATTTGGCAGATAGTACTATAAGGTCAAAGGGCCTGAGATGGGAAAGGGCTCAGCAGATTGGAGGAACAAAGGAAAATGGGTGTGGCTGGGTCTACTGGGTTAGAAATTGGTGCCCAGGTGCCCAGGCTCACGTCCATGGCTCTAGGGAGGGGGTGTCCAGCATGACAAGGAGGCAGGAGTTTCCCCTGGCTGAACCAAGGGCCAAGCAGGCTTTTGCACGTGAGCGCCCTCCTATAGCTGGGTAAAGACATCCCCCTCCCTGCCAACTCCAGACTCCTCCCACAGCTGCTCTCTGGGCTCAAAGGCAGCTCCAGGTCCCCAGCCAAAGGCAGAATTCCTGAAACTCCAGGGGGCAGTAGAATGGGTGGAAGCAGAATGGTGGAAGTTTCCTGTACCTAACGAAGCAGGGTGGACTGGTTTGGTTTATTTTTTGGGAATCACTCTTCTGTGGAATGGAATTCACTATTCATGTAGGCATTCATTTATTCCACTTTTTGTAGAAATATATATTTTTAACATTCATAGAGGTCTACGACTGGAACTTTAACCCAAAGACAAATTTACTTGAAAAGGGTGTGGAAGGTAGGCAGGGAGTGTGGTGCCATCTGAATAGAACATCGGGATTGAAAAAGGATGATGAGGATGTCTCTTCTGGGTTCTGGAGTGGCACAAAGTAGGGGAGTGGAAAAGCTGGCGTTTCTGGTGCATTGCAGTGCTTTTGAGAGGACAAATGGGACTTGTAAAAATGCAGATTCCTGGGCCACCCCTGAGCAACTGAGTCAGCTTCTGGAGGTGGGACCTGGGAATAAGCTTCTGGGAGATTCTGCTGTACATGGTGCCTGAGAACCACTGAGCTGAAATAAGAATGATGATGCCATTTGCTGAGAGCTGACTGTGCTCAAGGGGCAGTCGAAGTGCTTTCCTTTAATCGCTTCTTTAATCCCCCGCACAGCCCTCTGAGGTAGGTACTGTTGTGATTGGCCCCCCT